TGAGTCTTAAAACAAAACTGCTTTAATATACCCGTTATTCATCAAAAGGACAAAGGCTATTTTAATTTTTCTTTGTCTAAATAAGCAACAATGAATGAAAAGTAATAGAAATATCCAAGCCGTCTAGACAGAAGAATAAAGTTTGTAGAAAGCCGTCAGATGCGCCATTCATGTGCCTTTTAGCTAAACTATAGGTATTTCCTGACCAATATCCATTGGAAACTAAGTAACTGACGGCTAGGAGAAAGATTCCGGAGCGCCGGTAATTAACGAAATTTGATACCGCTCATTATGAGCTAGGTGCAGACTATAACTCGATACAGATCTTGAAAACACAACATCAGATTACTGTACAACAAGTTTTAGTATTTTGTTACAAGGAAACAATCTTTTATTATTAGGAACTGTTTGACGAGGAACTCGGCCAGCGTAGCTAGAACTAAAAACTAGTAACTTGTAGTAGTAGTGGTAAACATGATAATTAATTTAGTTATCTGACTGCCTCATTGGCCGAGTGGTCGCAAGTGCGACTGCCGGGCAAGGGGTCTCGGGTTCGATTCCCGGGTCGGGCAAAAGTGTTACTGGGTTTTTCAAAAAATTCCCAGTATTAGCACGGAGTCTGGAATTGTGCCCGGTATGTGGCAATAGGCTCACCCTCTATTACATGGGACTCATAACATAAATAGTGAAAAGTGGGTGTTACATTGTACAGTGGCATAATGTACACCTCTGCCTACCCATTCGGGGATAAAAGGCGTGATGTTATGTTAATTTAGTTATCATAATAAATGCCTACTGGTGAGCAAAACCTCATCACACGGAGAAGATTTGAGCATTCATCATCACGCTTGCTCAATGCGGGTTGGCGATTACAAACTTAAAATTAGAAATTATAAGCCCAGGTTTCCTCACGATGTTTTTTTTCTTCACCGTTTGTCAGTGGTGTCTAGATAATCTTAGAAAGTATATATAACTCGGAAAAAGTAACATTGGTACTTGCCGTCGGTAGGTTTCGAACCCGTACCCGCCATGAGAGCTGGGCGTCTTAAACCTCCAAGCCACTACGACGCGTTAATTAATTTTGTTTGTCTCGCAAAAGTTACAATACAGAACAATGATTATTATTTATTCACGTACAGGTTTGATGATCGGTTTATGAGCAAAAATGTTTCCAAACTCTGGCAATAGAGAAGCGGTGAGGCGGGTGATTCTATTGCACATACTTGTTGATCGTAGCTAACGTTGTAGCCTACATTTGTGTGAGTCCCGGAGGAACGAATATTTTGGCTATTTTTGTTGCTCCTGTTGAATGTTACCCCGATAACATCGGAACTGACGTGATGTTAGTAAAGAGACCAATCGACAAGTCAAACATGACTAGGAAACCTCTCTTTCACAAGTTTCATTAAAGAAGCGATTTAATATTACCAGTGACATATTTATAACTTGCACAATATTAACATTTTACAAGATTCGCGTCACGATACAAATAATTATGTAACATAACATCGCGCCTTTTATCCCCGAAAGGGTAGGCAGAGGTGTACATTACGGCACTTAATGCCTCTGTACCATATTGTACATTTTATAATATTCATCAT